TGCCGTGGCGGAAAGATCTTGTCGGCATGGTTCCTCATATCCGTATGTTCCCCTTCGACTCTTGCTTTCTGGATTTTCTCATTTTTCAGCACTAGACATCTTCTCGCAATACTTACTGCCAATCTGTCGATGCTGCTATGGGGTCCAAGACATCAGAAGACGACCGTCGTGATCACAGTATGACTCTGAAAAGTTACTCCGGCCAGGAGATACGCTGACTTCATCAGATGATGCACCATATTCGAAGAAAATCCCTCAGGCCGGTGGTCTTCCACGAGGCGCTCACACCGCCCGTGACGGGGACGGCACCTCCGCTAGTGGCGGCGGCGACGACGACAGCGACGACGACGCTGCCTTACGACCCCTGGCGCAATTGAACCCTGATGTTCCATCGAATGAAACTGAATTATGCAAGAAGAGGCGGAAGAAGACCAAGAAGAAGAAGAAGAAGAAGTCTGCCGCGGTGCACAGCCAGCAGACGTCGCCACCTCGTATTCCTCTCAGCGATCTCTTTCCCACGGCGGATTACCCCGAAGGTGAGATCCAGAGCTACACCAGGGCTCCCTCAGCCGTGGCTGAATTGCATTACAACGGCGTACAGGAGGCGCAGGACAGCGAGTTCTTCTGCAACTATCGGAAAGCGGCCGAGGTCCATCGTCAGGCGCGCAAATGGGTCCACGACACTGTGCGTCCCGGTCAAGACCTCCTCAGTATTGCCGAGGGTATTGAAGACAGTATTCGTTCTCTTCTCGGCAACTCTGGGCTTGGACTGGGTGATGGTCTGCGTTCAGGCATGGGCTTCCCTACAGGTCTGTGCCTCAATCACCAGACAGCACACTACACTCCAAACCCTGGGCAGAAGGCTGTTGTACTGCAGGAGCAGGATGTCATGAAGGTCGATTTCGGTGTCCACATAAACGGCTGGATCGTTGATAGCGCATTCACCATGGCATTCGACCCCACGTACGATAACCTCCTGGCGGCTGTCAAGGAGGCGACCAACGAAGGTGTCAAAGCCACGGGGATCGACGTACGTATTTGTGATGTTAGCGCTGCCATTCACGAGACGATGGAGAGCTATGAAGTCGAGATAAGGGGCAAGACGTTTCCTGTCAAGCCGGTGAAAAACATATGCGCCCACAACATCAAGCACTACCAAATCCACGGCGGCAAATCGATTCCCTTCATCCGCAACTCGGATCAGACAAAGATGGAGGCGGGTGAGGTTTTTGCTATTGAAACATTCGGATCCACAGGTCGTGCCTATCTTCGCGATGATGTGAGTCTCTCTCTCCCCATTAGTACGGACTAAATCTCTAACCCGTAATCAGATCGGTGTGTACGGGTATGGTTTGCAAAGTAACGCGCCGTTGGCTGGACAATTGCCCCTCGCGTCTGCAAAACGACTGCACAAGACAATCCGCGAGAACTTTGGTACTATTGTCTTTTGTCGTCGATATCTTGATCGACTTGGGCAAGAAAAGTACCTAGCCGGAGTTCGTCTCTCTTAATTTGAACACATTGGCCAATAATGCTGACAGCTATAGATGAATTGCCTTGTCTCAAATGGCATCGTCGAGTCCTATGCTCCGCTGAGAGATATTGAGGGATCGTACTCGGCGCAGTTTGAACACGTAAGCTTCCAGGTTGTAATGAAGGTAACGCGCAACTCATGAATGCCCTAGACCATTGTCCTACGTGAGACACATAAGGAGGTCCTCAGTCGTGGGGACGACTACTAAGGCAGCAACATGGCGACTGCTGCTCCTTCTCTGCGTCGCCCGACCAACCAAGGATCCTTATGCAGGGCGCTGGTCTTCCTTGGCAACAACCACCATACCGTGACGCATGGTGTGGTGGTAAAAGCCTAAGAAATACCCGTAAGGTCAGGCCCTCAGGGAAGACCAGTTCAGGGCGCGCAGGTCAGGAAGGCGCGTAGAGGGGCTCAGGGGTTCGACGCCGGCACACGGCCAAAAGGGAAATCCTTTTGCGTTTTTGTGCTGTTTGTTGTCATTGTGCCAAGGCTCTCTCCCCCCCCCAACCCCCTTTTTCTTTTTTGCTTTGCATTGATGGCCGCCGAAACTTGGATGGGCTTTCGTGCTTTGAGAACATATAGTATACTGCCGATGACGTTGCTGATATGTACCCCTCGGTATTGGTTTTTCCCCATTGGGTTTCCCAATACTTCCGCGCGAATGCGGAGGGGTAAGTTTTCTCAGTAGTCTATTATGAATCCTACTTTTGCAACTGTTGCGGACCTGGTATCGCTGGTGGTTATTGCTCAGCGACCGCCCTGGTCAGTGTATTCCTCCGCCTGACACTCCATCTGGCCTCTCAATATCAAGAATCTGTTCAATCCTATCCCTGAGCATCACGTTGCCCATTGGATTCAGCACACCTAGAATTTCTGATGTCAAACCCTCGTGAAGGGTTCTAGAGCCGCAACTTTGGATAAGCTACAACTTTGGAAGCAACCCAGAGGTCCATCATCGCCTTGGATCCTGCATAGAAAATCGACCAACGCACGCGGACATAACCCGTCAAGCCCTAGAAAGTACGAGGGTTGTTTCCTTATGCGTTCAGCGTCATGAGGGCATTGGTAAACGGCATCACAGCATTCACATGGAACCAGTGGCCAGCTATATCAAGCCAAGTCTACAGCAAAATTGAAATCACCCTACATCATGTGAAGCCCTGGCTGAACACAGTGACCCCAGAGCCCCCAAAGTACCTATCGGCACATGGACCAACGGTGGGTACAGTACGACGCTAAGCCCAACGAATTCGGCGCCATCGGCCGAGAATCCACGTCCGCAGCGATTAATCTCTAAGATTGTGACGCGGTGCACTCATTTGAATGGTCATCGTCCACGTTTCGCGCCACATGGCCGCAATCGGCAGCGTACAGGTAGGCATCTGCTCGTAGACACCAATTGCTGCGCCTCCTTGGCAATGCCGGCACATTGAAGCCTGTCACTCTCCCGTTCTTGGCATTCCAAGCCGTCGGGCTCCCAGAGCTGAACATCCACTGCACTTTGCCCCCGCCCCCTGACGCGACGCGACGACATCATCTGATGTCTGCGCCGCCACGCACCACTCACGGCAGATCGGCTGCCGGCACCAAATGGGCCGCTCCAGAGTGAAGGACTGCAGTGCTTGTCATAGGGAAGCGAGGACTAGGCAGAGAAACAGGGGGACTGTAGCAGGCGGACGCCATGCCGCTCGGCCGTCCCCATCTCTCTTCTGTGAAATTGGCTCACGCCCTTAGCCTGGCGCCAGAGGAAGGCCGTTCGTCAGCCGCATGGCCTTCGTCGCGAAGGAGACGCCATGGATATTTCTCCCAGTTTTGGGGCGGGGGCGCCACCATGTCTCAAGATGGGTTATCCCTTGTTCAGAGTGTCGATCAGTTGTTCGCGCGACTCATTCGACGTGCTGAATGGAATCCCTGAGGCGTTCTACGAAGGCGAGCTGTGGACGAGAGAACCACTTCGTGCCAACCTTGCTGCTGCCTTGCCCGAAGTGGATAGAGAAGGCGAGTATAGCAGCCGCTAGAGACGGAAAGGACTGGCAGAGCGCCCTACCTGGCCCCTAGTGTGATTTGTATGCCTGGGCTAAGAGCATCGGCCAGCCCATGTCTTGGTCGTCAGACCCTGTGCCCCGTCAGGGACAAGCTCGACGTAGGGCTGTGCAGTCAGAAGCTTTGTGGGGATCACAGACCTCGCTGTCGCCGTGACTGGAGTGAGCGGCCTTAATCTCCCGATGTGGAACCCCCATGTCCGGCGTTTCTCGCTTGAAGCCGTTGCCGCCTGGATTCTGGAGCCTGGGCTGAACATGGCAAGGGACCTAGCTCATTGAAGGATCAGGACGAAGGGGTTGAAAAGGGCAGACCTTCCCGTTGCCTGGGGCTTGGTGTCGCTCAGACAGCAACGTTCCTTCGTATCTGACATTTTACTTCGGTTCTTTTCACTCGTTCATTTTCAATACACCAACCACTTGCTCAGTCTTCACCTTGCAACATTTCGCACCATCAAGAATGCAGTCCTCCATCCTCCTCATCG